CGAATTCCGACTGGTACGTATTTGAATGGGACGCCGGTGCCGCCTGACCAAGAGCGCGCTGAAGAGCTGCTTGTTCACCAGTCGGTCGCACAGAACTGCCACCTGCCAAACCATCCGATCGTGGCTGCAGAACGGCCTTCACGGGCGTGCCCGGTGTCCAACTTGGCATACTTGATTCCAGTGAATGCACAGAACGAAGCAGGAGGAAGTAAGAATGGATGTGAGTAAAGCGTAGGGAGGCTGGATGCTGCGCGGACCAGTGCTGGGCCACCTCGGACCCTCAGCCGTTTCCAGGCAGCAATCACCGGCGCACCGACCACGAGGTCGGTCATTCCGGGAGGAGGGCGGCAAAGCGGGGCGCGCCTCCCCCAGGGCCGCAGCCGCCGCCGCCCGCACTCCGCCGTCCTCGTGCGGTAGGCGGCGGCTCACCTGCGCGCGGCGCCCCGCGCGCGGCGGCTCGTCGTCGCCTGGCTGCGTCGAAAATCGATCCCCAAGGGGGTGGACGGAGGGAGGAGGGCTTCTCGGAAGCAGGTTGCTTCTTAGAAGGTGCCGGCCTTACATCTATAGATAAGGCCCACGCCTTCTAAGAAACAGGGGTGTTTCTAAGAAGCCCTCCCCCCTCCCCCCACCCCCCTCTGCGCGTGGCTGAAAAAAACGTGGCTGCACATGCTAGACGTACCTCGTTCCTGTGGCAACTTGCGGGGGCATCCCATACCATCTTGTTGGCTCATGCGTCGACGCTGCTCGACGCTTGTCGACGCTAGATGCTAGATCGAGGCCAGTCGACGCAAAATCGGCGCTCTCTCATCGACTGCCAGACTCTAGCGCACGCCTAAGCGCCCTGCAGACAAAATTGCGAGGACAAACCAGGATCCTAACGATTTGCTACCAGACAACAGAACATGACTTCCAATGATGGACATTCACAGGGTGGCTTTGAACCGAACTGGAGTCCTAACCGAACTGGTCGGACTTGGAACAGCCGATTCGAACCGCACTGGTGGGCTGGAACAAGCTGGAACGAGCAAACCGAACCGGTTGGAACCGAACCGGCCCCAAACGACCCTGGGAGGCCTGGGGGGGGCCCTGGGGGGCCCTGGGGGACCCTGGGGGCCCTGGGGGGGCCGGCCCCCTGCTGTGCCTGGAGGGTGCGTGTGCTGGGTTTGTCCGCCCGTCCCAGAAACTTCGAAACCTCTGGGTGCTGGAAACTCCGAAGGGCCTCCTGGCGCTCCTAGAGACTCCAGAGGCACGGGCACTTGAGAACGAATCTGAAGAACAAACCTGGAACCTGAAGCATTGATCCACTCCAGCGGTAGCAAAACTTGCGACTTCATCCTCCTCCTCGTCCATCTCCTCCTCCTGCTCCTCTTGAGCCCAGCAATGGCACCGACAGCCGACAGCAGCGGCGAAACACCTCGCGATGTCTTGGTCGCCGTCCACGACAACGATGTCCAGCTCGACATTGCCGAACAAGCCCGCCCAAAACTGGACCGCTCCGTCGCCGCCGAACCGAAGGGGCCGAACTGGCCCGAACGACCATACTGAAGCCTTTGAAACCGGCCAACCGCCGAAACCGAACCGACGCAACCGAACCGGGCCGCGGCCGAACCGACCCGAACCGGACCTTTCATAGGTACAGCTCCATCGCTATGTCTTGATGATGCGCCACGTCATAAATGCAGGGCGGGGGATGTGTGGCCACCGCGAGCACCGCGGCGACATCAAAAAACGATCCGGAAATGTGGTTCGGGGTCGGATATCACGCAACGATCGTCGTCGCTGCCACCGTCGCCGAGCGTCGTCGACCAATCGAGATTCAAATGTTTTTCAGATTTCTCGAATTTTGAGCGTCCGGGGCCCGTCTCGCGCTTCAGAACAATCAGACATCGACCCCTGATGGAAAACTGCTCAGAATGGATCCAGGGACGGGTTCCAAGTATCGATTTTGGGCGGGTTTCGTATTCTGCGATGTCGTCATCGTGGTCGTGGTCGTGGTCGTGGTCGTGGTCGTGGTCGTGGTCGTGGTCGTCGTTAGGGGGCCGCATGCGAACCATACCCCTACCCCCCACGATTTCTGAGGGGGAGGGCCGAGCGAAGTGAACCCCACTCTCCCCCTCAGAAATCGTGGGGTGTAGGGGTAGGGTTCGCATGCGGTCCCCTAGTCGTTGTGCTCGTCGTCGTCCTCGTCGTGGTCGTGGTCGTGGTGAGTGGCGTCGTCGTCGTCGCGGGCCCAACGGGGGCCCCAGGAAGGGGAGCCCCAAAAATATACAACACCACCACCACGTCAATTGCTCCTCCTCCCTCCTCTGCCCTCATACTCCTTCCCTCTCTCCTGGGAGAAGGAGAAGGTGAAGAAGGTGGTGTTGGTGTATATGTTTGGGCCCGTGTCATGTCGACCCAGGCATTGGCTCCTGACACCGCGGGGATCGTTCAACCTTGGACGACCGGCTTTTCCGCAAAGTCCGATCGTTCAACATCGACCGACAACGGGCCGCCGCCGGCGTTCAACGTTGAACGCCGTCGGCGGGTCGCCGCCAGCCGACACGACGCGCGCGAACCGACCGTAGACCTCCGGAGGCCCCCCAGGCACCTCGAAGGTCCGACCGGAAACAAACGGAGACCTCCAAAGGCCCGCGGGAGAAGGAACGGAGCGGGCCCCCGGAGATCCGCAGCACGCCTGGCCACCGATGCCTCGACCTCGGGCGCTCCTTCGTGCTGCCACGACCGGTGGCACGCTCGCAATCTCCCATCCCGCGCCGCCTGCGAGGTGTCCTCGGCACGGCTGGCGCACAGCCTCGTCTGGTCCCACTCGGCTACACAGCCTGGCACCTGCTGCGCAGGCGTACTCTCTCGGAGCAAATACAAATTGATGCACCTCGCGTGACGGGCGGTGCCGCTGGGGGTTCCAACCGCCTGGTCCTTGCCGTGCCAATCCTCTCGAATACTGTACTCGCCGGCTGCGCCGGTTGGGCCTTCTTTGCGCGCCCGCAAAGTTTCGCAGTTTCTTGTCCTGGCACGCCAGGTCCCTCCGTGGCGCCCTGGAGATTCCCGTCGGCCCCCTATGCTCCAGCTCCGCCCGCCCCCCTCCACGGCGTGGTTTCCCGGCTGCATCCCTGCACCACCGCCCGCATTCTACAGCTCAGCGGTCGGCTATGGCGGGCACTCATTGGGCGTTCTGCTTCACGCGCGTGTCCACAAGTGGATCGATCATCTTTCCATGGCGTGGCCCACGTGCCATTTGTTTACCGTCGTCTGTGACCCAGCGGCGAGTCGGAGAAAAAGTGTACGCAATAGTTTCGCGGGCCTTCGCGCCACCGCAGCAGCGGGGGGGCGGGGCAAGCAGACGGAGGGCGGATAATTCGGGGTTGTCCGGAGGCCCAGGGGGGGTCGCGGGCTGACAATTCAGGGCGGGGGGGCGAGGGGTCAATTCAGTGCCAGGCAAACAAAAGCTGGGAAATACTTCGCGGGCCGATGATTCGAATCTGCAGGGGCGGACAATTCGGCGCAGGGGCGGACAATTCGAGGCCGCGAGGGCTGATTTTGGCTAGCCCTGAACGGAAGTAGAAATCCCACCAGCCCTTTGGGCGTGAGTGGTTTAGAGAGCCCGCTCTGTCCTCAACCCCCCTTCTTCCCCTTCGGGGAGGGGTTTACCCCTCCCCCTACCCCCTCCCCCTGGACCTGGAGAGGGATTCCCAAGCGTCGCCGGGGGAGTCTTTTTCGACGCCTGGGAGGGCCAAAAAACGACGACCCTCACGAGGATTCTGGCCCCGAGGGGGGGGGGGGGGAATTTGGTCCCTCAGCTCGTCTTTGAAGCAAAAAAACATTGATTTGACTACGGTTTTGGCCCCATTTTGGCCTTCTGAGGGGGCCGCGCTCCTCTTCCTTCATAGCAAAATCTTTGATTTTACGAAGGTTTTGGGCTCATGTTGTCCTTCTCAGGGGGCAGCGCTCATTTGCGCTTCTAAGGTCGCAAGAGGCCCCAAGATGGCCCCAAAAGGCCCCCAGGAGGCTCCCAAGAGGCCTCCAGGAGGCCCCCAAGAGGCCCACAAGAGGCCCCCAAGAGGCCCCCAAGAGGCCCCCAAGAGGCCCCAAGAGGCCCCAAGAGGCTCCAAGAGGCCCCCAAGACGCCCCCAAGAGGCCCCCAAGAGGCCCCCAAGACGCCCCAAGAGGCTCCAAGAGGCCCCCAAGAGGCCCCACGAGGAGCCCGAACGACTCACACCAGGACAAGGGGCCCGAACGACTCACACCACGAAGCGCCCGAACGACTCACACCACAAGGAAGGGCCCGAACGACTCACACCAGGACGAGGCGCCCGAACGACTCACACCACGAGGAGCCCGAACGACTCACACACGAGGAGCGCTGTCTCTCCCTCCTCCTCCGCCTCGTCCTTCTCCCGCTCCCCCCACAAGGAGGATGTACAAGGAGGCGGGAGGAAGGAGGAACAGGGGAGATATGCGGGGCCAAGCGGACACACGCCTGAAAAACACGACTGCCGGCATGCTTCGCAGGAGTTGCTGCTGTGAGATGGGCTGGTGGGGATACGCGAAGCGTAAAGAATTTCTGATCCGCCAGTCCTGCGCCGAAGGTAGACATTCTGCGCCGCCTTCAGACAGCGACCTCCTTCCCCCCCTTCTCCTATTCTCCTCCCCCTCTTCCTCCTCCTCCTCCTCCTCCACCTTCCCCTCGCTTTTCGATCCCTTGTCACATTCTCCCTGCTAGTTACCTTTCCTCCACAATTTGTTTAATGAATACTATTCCCCGTTCTCCCCTGATGCACTTCGGAAGATTGCCTGCACCCTCCGCGTAGTGTTTTTACTTACACACAGATTTGGCGCTACTCCGTTTCTCATGTGTTTTTGAATCGGAAAGTGTTTGGTTATTCCAAAATGTGCTTCCCGCTGTAACGCTGGCCTCCTTTGCGAACTTCCGCTTGGTTCGAATCATCCCGCGTGCTGTTTTTACACAGAGGATTGGGGGAATATGTTGTTCATATCCGTTGTTCAATCCGAACTTGTTCGGTTCTTCCGACACGCTGCGCCCGCGGCAACGTTGGCCTCATATCCAAGCTACAACCACCGTCCGCGAGGACGACAGTTTCGCCGTCCTCAGGTTTGTTCTCAAGTCGGGGATGGCAACAACAACTACATTATCCCAGTGCGACCCTACCTAGGAGTTGGAACCCCTAGGAAAGCAGCACCAGTAGTCACAGTAACGCTAAGCTAAAGCTAAGCTAAAGCTAAGCCACAGCTAAGCTAAAGCTAAGCTAAAGCTAAGCTAAAGCTAAGCTAAAGCTAAGCTAAAGCTAAAGCTAAGCTAACGCTAAGCTAAAGCTAAGCTAAATATAAGCTAAAGCTAAGCTAAAGCTGAGCTAAAGCTGAGCAACAGCTAAGCTACAGCTAAGCTACAGCTAAGCTAAATAAAAGCT